GCCGTGCTGCTGCGGCGCGATGGCGTCGCTGGGGCGAGGCGGGGTCGCTGCAGTTGAGGGGTGTCTCCAGGAGCAACCAAGCACGGTCAGAGGTGACGATGCAGTTAAAGCTTCTCTGTGGCCACCTTCCCAGAGGCGATCTGCCCCAGAGCAGTCACGAGCAGAATCCGAGGGAAAGGGACAACTTCCACGGGAACACAAGTGCCAAGAACGCAGCTGTAACAGATGCCATGAGAGTGGGCTAAAAATGGGCTAAAAAGAACAAAAAAACAGAGGAGAGGTTAGTGATTGATGAGTAGAAGTTGCAAGAGAGCATACAGAAATACCTCAGGGGTTGTCCTTTGAATCCAGCCTGTTTCTTAGAAGTAGCAGTACTGTGTGATAAGCGACACGTGCGCTTTCCGTGGTGTCTGACCAAGGACACCACTGTACCGTGATGGGTTACTGTCAGATCTGAGATCTCTTGGGCCCAGACAAGTAAAAATTTTGTAGGCAGAAAGCCTCAAAATTACTATGCGCGTGGGAATGCAGCTGCGTAGCGACGTGCAAGCCGCGATATGCAACCACCTAGGCCACTGGCTTTGTTTTGAAATGTCGACCTTAGCTAGGTGTGCAAAGCTTTCCATGCTTTGCTCATAGCAGTTGCCCACGACCTGAGTAGTTATGAAATGTTGAAACTTCAGCTACTTACGTTTATTTCTGAAACCCATTTGTACATTGGATTTAAATTAGTTAAGATGCTAAACAGTAAAGGAAAAACATGAGCTTTAAAAGTTCAAAGGCACTGGTGCGCTGGTTTGGCATTACTCCAGTATTGGAGTCCTGCCAGGCTTCCGTGATACAAAGAACAAACTCTGCATTTGTAAGTTTGTGTTTGTTCTTTCCTTACTCACTGCAGCATGACATTTAGTTAAGGCTGAGAGTTCACCTTTCTACTTTGACACCGTTGTGAAAAATATGGTGACTTTTCGATAAGCCTTTTAGTCTGAGTGCAAAAAAGTTGTTTGTTCTGGTCCTGCTAAGCCCTTCAGATACCCGTCATTGAAAACTATCTGCTTTTGCTTTGTATGTCTCTTCTGGGTTTGGACTCATGTTTCTTCTATAATTCTAATTCCCAATTAAAAACTTCACTGTTTTCTAACAAAATGCAGGTCCAGTATTAATATCTTTTTCTGATTTCAGACATTCATTTCAAGTAAGTTGCCCTTTTTTGCAACAAACAAAAAAGTTGAACAGGCTGCCCCTGCTTGTGCTGCTTTGCGATATTTATAGCTATGCTGCTGAGACTAGCCGTGGTGTGACTTATCATACAGGTATCCAGACGTCTTAGCATTCTGGCTGAAGAAGAATCCCAACTTTCTGTCTACATGTGATTTAATTTCCCTATTCAATTTTATATGAAACCAGAGCAAAAGCATCTTTTTTCCTTTTGCAACAACCATTTGTGATCATGAATAAACTTTGGAAGTGCAGAGACATATACTAGTAGAGGTACATGAGCCACTTCACAGTGATATGTGACCAGGTACAAAACTGGAAGCTGCCTTTGGCAGTAGTGGTGTCCACTCTTAACGAATATAATAATGGCATCCATTAACATGTCTAGTGGTGGCAGTAATAGCTGGCAAAAGAAGGGCATGACACCCTGCAATCTAGTCCTGTTGAATAATTCTAGTAGCATTGCTGAGACTAGCTGTGATGTAGTTACTGAGAATACATTTAGGCTCACAAATATTACGGTACTACCATTAAGATACATACAGTCTTTTCTTAAATATACGGTTAAGTCACTGGGTAAAAGAGTGGCAAAGAAAAGTTCAATAAAGCTCGTCTTGCACTGAGACACCCTTTCAGAAAGCCTTAATTAAAAGACTTCAAGTTTAATTCTGATTTCCACCTTTTTTTTTTTTTCCCAAGCTCACTGTTTACACATTACGGTTTTTGTATTTTTCTTTTTTTCAGTCATTGGATTCAAGCCTGTGATCCACATGACAGTGCTCTAGTTACTCAAGAATGCTTCTCACCCTGCCTTTTAGTTCAGCGCCACCATCTATCTAAAGGATGTGCCAGTGAGGATACTGTTGGCTGTCCTGCCAGAAACAACATTAGTCCAGCTAACATAGCTTTACCTAGTATGTTCCAGGTGGCCAACCCACCAAAGGAAATAGTTTTGTTTAACAAAGGTGGAGAGGCTTTGCCCTTGTGCAATATCAGATACAGAGAAAGAAATACAAGTTGAATGTTATCTACGTATGAAAAAAGGGGGAATAGAGGAGGGAAACAAAATGGAAGAAGAGGGTGTAGAGAAAAGATACTTTAACTAACAAGCATAGTCTGAGAAAGAGCTTGTTTGCCCAATGTGCGTCTGAAAACACTTGGAAAGTGGCCCAGGGCCCCAAGCTTGTGTCAACAGCTGGAGTATTCCCAGATCCATATCAACAGTTGATTAAAGGAGAAAGGGAACTGTTCTGCAGCCTAAAATGAGGTTATTCCAACCTGTAATGTTTGTAATGAACTTTGAAATCATTTTACTTACTCTTAAATTTCATCATTACACATTGGGATTCAAGAGTGCATATCTCAAAATTCTAGTGCTCTCAGTCTTAAGGTGGAAAGTAACCATTACCATTATAAGAGACTCTACTAACCTAGTTGTTGAGTGCATCGTCAGCTGGAGCGGGGGAAGAGTTTCACTTCAGCCACATTATTCAGTTGTCTGGGGTACTGGCAACACTTCCTTCTAGTCTTAACAGTTCAGGCTTTTCAGAAGCATACATGGGGTTCATGCTGTTCCTCTTGCCCTGAGTGGAAGGGTTGCTCTTAATTGTTGTAGTGGGTGGGGACAATTTACAGGCAATGTGGTAAAAAAGGATATAGCACTTTTCAGCAGTCTGGCAAGCCCAGCAGGAACAACTACGTACCTTTTCTTCAGCAACAAGGTGATACTCCTATAGTATGAGGAATTATGCAGAATCTGTATCCTTTGCCTACCTCGTGTAGCTGCTAACCTATCCGCACGCTGTAGGAAGTGACGTTGGCTTTGCCTTTTGTTAACACTGCCGTAAGCAAGTCCTGCAGAAAGGTGATTTTTTTGCTCAGCTATCATCCCTTCTCCATTAATACTTACTGTTGAGACTCTGCCTCATTGACCTCTATGATTGTTTCCAGTGTACCAGCAGAAAAGTGTGGAAAAGACCCAGTGAGTCCGACTTTAAACCCTGACTCTCCTGCAAGCATCTTACAAATATGTACCTTGCATTCCAGTTTCTTGTCCTCATGTTCCACCCACATACATTACTGGTACCTGTTACTACCCAGAGTTACAAGGAACAGTGGGTAGGTCTGCCTCAGTTCCATCTTAGAGCTGTGTAGTGGGCCACAGGCATGGACTGGAGATTCTTACTTTGATCATCTTTGTGGCTTAGTCCTCTGACCTAGCTGCTTTTGTGGCGAGGGAGAGATCCCATCACAGTTGCGTGCCTCCTGTTATGACTGTTCTTCCAATACCTTCAGAACTTCATGCTGGAGTTCTGTTTGTATTTTCCCCACAGCGGTGCCCTAGCCACTACAGGCAGCATCAGTTGACTCAGGAGCATATATCTTGTGACAGAGATCACATGCCCTCATAGTAGGCTTCTCTGTCTCCCCATCCCAATAGAATTAGTTCTCCCGTCACCAGAGTCAATGAAGCCTTGATTCTGATTCACAGGAGAAGTCTAAGTTAACTCAGACAATGCTGTTAGTGTTTCTGGAACAAAGATATTCTGAAAGTTGGCTAGAGGTTGGGCCTTTTACCAAGGCCTTTTTTTAAGGCATAGAGGGTCTCCCTTCACTGCCATTGAAGTTCCCAGCAGCCATATGAACTGCAGGTCACTTTGGAGCTCCTCTAGGCAGTTCAGTAGCATTGCCTGCATTCAAAGAGGTTGTGCCCTATTCCAGGTTTAGTGGTAGCTTAGTAGCAATAAATTTCATGCAGTACCTCATAAAAAAAGGCAGGTGGGAAGCACACTTCCCAAAGACCAGTTGTAGATGCATGTCTAGCAACTGATTAACTTAATTTTTAAAAAATATTAACCTCCATTGTTGTCCTGTCCTGTAATAACCTTTCTGCATCACAGATTTTTTTGGCAGCAAAATCATCTCATGCATCATGGCTTCTAACATCATGTGTGTGTA